AAAGATGCGATGTTTTGATTGAACATTTTTTAACAATTGTCATAGAGCATTTATAAAACAACAACGAAAAAACATCAAAAATACATAAAACTATAATAATAATACAATTCTTTGAAAATTAACTCCTTTTAACTGCAAAAAGTGAGGAGCACTGTCCTAGGTCTATAGTAACAGTCACAATCGCGCAACTGACAACACCACACGCTACAAAAAATTTAACTGCTATCTGCCACAATGAAAAATCCTAACAAAAGCTCTCGTTTAAACAGGCTGTATGTTCTTCTTTACTTTCAAAGCTATGGGTTAACTTTTGTCCAGCCGATCTAGGCGTTTTAAAACAAACACACACAAAAACCCAAAGAGCCTAAAAAACAATCCTAATAATAATAGGTTGTATTGTAGGACAGCATATAGGTTTATTTTCGTTTTGTTACATTATTTAGGCTATTTTCAAATGCGTCAAGTGTACAAATAAAAACAAATCAAGAAAACACAATCTATTGAGTCAGCATGATAAAGCCGTTAAAGGGCCTGCTCACGTCTTTTGCGCGCTCAAGTTCGATTTCAAATGTAGGCGCGCGGTGTGCGCGCTCATGATGGAAGCAACGCGGTCGCGGTGAGACCTATATACAGTCTATGGGTGCGATGCGCTCTTTTTTTCCAAGTGCGTCCACGCCGCATCGAGATAAAAACATATAGTGTATAAAAACATAAAAACCGAAACAAGTAGCGTTCTAACTGAATGAAATCTGAACTACCTATATCCCTTACTGAGCACGAAGCAGCAGCGCAGCCAACCGTGTGAACCGAGTGTTCTGTGTGTGTGCGCTAAACTGTGGCGCTGTTACAAAATAGCCTAAATTAAAGCATTTAAAATTGGGGATAAACCATAGGCTAATTATATTTAGAATACAGTAATATTTAACTGCTTATAAAGGAATAATTATCAAGGAGTAAATCATGGAAAATTTCTTTCTATTGGTAAAAAAGAAAAGAAAAAAAAAGCAACTGGTCGACCAATAAGAATGTCAGTCGACCAAGACGGCATCGACCGATTAGTCGACTAAACGACTAAAGTTGGCAGCCCTATTTCTTTGTTCTTCATTTTCTAGAACAAGAGTTTAAGAACCTTACTGTGTTTTTGTGTAATTAATTAAGAGAAAGTACTCCGCCATCTTCCTCCGACGAAAGTGACTTGAACGCACTGTCGTCGTAAACACGACTTCCCACCTCGTACGTACGAACTTCCCCAGGAGGACTTGAACGCACCATAAGAACACCGCGAGCGGGCATGTCGGAGAATAGCGCGGACACGCGTAAAAAACACACCGCGAGCGGGCATGTCGGAGAATAGCGCGGACACGAGCTACACACCGCGAGCGGGCATGTCGGAGAATAGCGCGGACACGAGCTACACACCGCGAGCGGGCATGTCGGAGAATAGCGCGGACACGAGCTACACACCGCGAGCGGGCATGTCGGAGAATAGCGCGGACACGCGTAAAAAACACACCGCGAGCGGGCATGTCGGAGAATAGCGCGGACACGAGCTACACACCGCGAGCGGGCATGTCGGAGAATAGCGCGGACACGAGCTACACACCGCGAGCGGGCATGTCGGAGAATAGCGCGGACACGCGTAAAAAACACACCGCGAGCGGGCATGTCGGAGAATAGCGCGGACACGAGCTACACACCGCGAGCGGGCATGTCGGAGAATAGCGCGGACACGAGCTACACACCGCGAGCGGGCATGTCGGAGAATAGCGCGGACACGAGCTACACACCGCGAGCGGGCATGTCGGAGAATAGCGCGGACACGCGTAAAAAACACACCGCGAGCGGGCATGTCGGAGAATAGCGCGGACACGAGCTACACACCGCGAGCGGGCATGTCGGAGAATAGCGCGGACCCGAGCTACACACCGCGAGCGGGCATGTCGGAGAATAGCGCGGACACGAGCTACACACCGCGAGCGGGCATGTCGGAGAATAGCGCGGACACGAGCTACACACCGCGAGCGGGCATGTCGGAGAATAGCGCGGACACGCGTAAAAAACACACCGCGAGCGGGCATGTCGGAGAATAGCGCGGACACGAGCTACACACCGCGAGCGGGCATGTCGGAGAATAGCGCGGACACGAGCTACACACCGCGAGCGGGCATGTCGGAGAATAGCGCGGACACGAGCTACACACCGCGAGCGGGCATGTCGGAGAATAGCGCGGACACGCGTAAAAAACACACCGCGAGCGGGCATGTCGGAGAATAGCGCGGACACGAGCTACACACCGCGAGCGGGCATGTCGGAGAATAGCGCGGACACGAGCTACACACCGCGAGCGGGCATGTCGGAGAATAGCGCGGACACGCAAGCGGGCTGCGGGCACCCAACAGATTGATTGACTATCAATAATCCCTCACATGGGTGAAAACAGACTTAAAGGGATAGTTCACTTTGAAATTAATTTTTTATATGTTTTAGCTTACCTCCAGTGCATCCAAGATGTAGATGTCTTTGTTTCCACAGTATCTTCAATTTTGATAATTTTAGGTAAAACCGTTGTTGTCTGTCAGTCATACAATGGAGGTGAAGGGGGTCCTCCTCAAAGAGCAGTCAAAATGAAACATTATTTAATGACTCGTAAATGTAAGTACACATTGATGCCCTAAGACACGAAACGAGTGGTTTTTGTGAGAAAACGAACAGTATTTATATTGTTTTTACCTCTTGTAACCACAGCCATGTCCAAGTTATCTGAGGGCGCGGACGCTTCCGTGTGTGACGTGTACGCAGACTGGTGCATAGATAAACTAGATGTCGCCTTGGCGACGGCAGTTCATTGGAACGAAACCTTAGCCAAGGCGACATCTAGGGTATATATATCTATGCACCAGTCTGCGTACACGTCACACACGGAAGCGTCCGCGCCCTCAGATAACTTGGGCATGGCTGTGGTTACAAGAGGTAAAAACAATATAAATACTGTTCGTTTTCTCACAAAAACCACTCGTTTCGTGTCTTAGGGCATCAATGTGTACTTACATTTACGAGTCATTAAATAATGTTTCATTTTGACTGCTCTTTGAGGAGGACCCCCTTCACCTCCATTGTATGACTGACAGACAACAACGGTTTTACCTAAAATTATCAAAATTGAAGATACTGTGGAAACAAAGACACCTACATCTTGGATGCACTGGAGGTAAGCTAAAACATATCAAAAATTAATTTCAAAGTGAACTATCCCTTTAAGGAACAGGCTCCAGGGGTAGGCTACTATTTAGCAGCATATGCTCAGCATCAGGGGTGTGTGTTGTTTGGACAGACCTTCCCCCACTGCTAAAAAAAATCCTCAAGGAAACACCGTAACTCTTCTCATTTGAACTTTTCTGAAACATTAACCAAGATGGCCTAGTATTGTTGTTGATAAGAGTCTGTGTTGTCTCGTTTAAATTCTTAAAGTTAACATAATCTGACCGAGGAATCTTAGACAAGTAAATATTGTTGTGGTCAAATGTAAATTAACTGGTGCCTATTTAACTTTATTCAAAAATTATTATTTAATTCTGCAATTTTCCTTCATTAGCGATTATCATCAATTTGATTACACAGATATTAATTAAACTAAACAGCTAGACAATGGCATCTCTGAATTCAATAATGGCATGCCTTTAACTTAAAATTGAATGTTTAATCTTATTATTATACATTACTGGCTCTCTATCCTCCAATTTGATACTGTTAAGTGCTTTTTTGTTACAGTATATTTTAATCTTTGATAACAGTGCTGTGGAGCACCAGAACAATGCCACAGACTTGAGCTTATAAAAATACATCATGTTAGCTCTGATCCAATTAAAAAATATAAACAAATAGAACTCAGGACATTTTTGTTCATGTAAAATATACCTCATTGTCATGTTCTAGACTTGTTATATTTAGCTTTAAATAAAAAAATACCCCCTTAATATTGTGGCAGTTTTTTCTCCGTGGTATCGAAAATGGTATCGAATATCGATATTTTTCAAGGTATCGTATCGAAGTTAGAAATTCTAGTATCGTGACAACACTAGTAACCTGTTAACTGCTGATGCCTTTCTGTGTTTTATTATTTTTTTTACATCCCTGTAGTCCAAAAGTGTGCTCATTTGGATAAAAACTACACTTCAAATATCTTTAGAGAACAGTCAAATATTTTCTATTTTTACACAAAATAGGACGATGTGAGCATTATTGAGCGCTAAACTCGCATGTAATTTATGTTTCATTTATACTCGCCCTCGCGCAGAAAGTCTCAAGAGTAATGAGTTCCAGGAGATCCCTATGGACAAAGACATCCAGCGATCACTGTAGCCGAATAAAACGCAGATAGATTCTGACTGATTAAACATGGAGAATTAACACAACAGCGACAGTATAATGGTTTATCTGTTCTTAAAGCCATCCCAGGTATTTTCATAATAATAATATATGTTTATAATGCAATGCCAATTGACAGAGATCTGGAGATCTGATCTCACCATCATCGAGTCCATCTGGGAATATAAGAAACAAAAAGACAGACTAAATCCAGAAGAACTGTGGCAATGTCTCCAAGACACTTGAAGAAACCAACCTGCAAAGCTACAATACTGAGAAAAGTTTTAGGCACTTAAAGTAAATGTATGGTAATAAATGCTCTTTAAATCCTTTGCGTTTAAAACCGTTTTTGCCCTAGGTACTCTTGCACATAGTTTTTTAGGTAGCTGCAGGACAGGTAGGTTTCTTCAAGTGTCTCGGAGATGTTTAGTCTGTGTTCGTTTTTTCTGTTTCTTCATGTAATCCCAGACAGACTCGATGATGGCGAGATCAGATCTCCGTGTGGAGCATACTTTTGACATACTGTTGTCAGACTTTTTGTACATACAAAAATCTCACTGGATTTTTACAGTTAATGGAGAGAAAAAAGTTTAGTCATGATTTTGTAATATTTCGCAAACTCTGCTTCTGCATAGCTCGTTTTCTGGTCAATCTTTTGGAACGGGAGGAATGCTCTAAAGAGGATGGTGAAGGGCATGAAACAGCCACGGCCACCATCTTCACTGAAGCCTGCTCTAATGGAAACTATGTGGAGGTAAAGCATGTTTCTTGATCTGTTCTCAGTTAAGGGATATTTTGAATTCTTTAAATCTTTCTCTCATGTCTCTCAGTACTGGAGTGATTTTATGAATCGTTCTGGGGAGGAGCAAGAGCGGCTCTTGGCTCTGCTGGAGGAGGAGGCTCAGAGGACCCACTCCAAGAGCCACAAAGACCAAAGAGAGGGTCTGACATAATTTAATCACACAAACTCACTTTGCATCCAATAAGAGAGAGGGTTTCACATCAGTTTATTACACCACACACATCTTAAGACTTGCTTGACGTATTCACTTTAGTGTAGACCACTACTTTGCACGCCAGAGAGGCGTTTGTCCTGCACATGCTCTCTGTGCCCTTAGCCCCCGTATCCTATGGCTCTAAACTGCACTCCAGCATTCAAGTTTTGTACAGTTTGCACTTTAGAGACTTGAGATCAGGGCCGTGCATAGACATTTTGGGGAGCAGGTGCTCAAGCTAAAAAAAATTCACTTTCATAATTAGCCTCTCATAATTAGCCTACTATAACAATTACATTAAAAAGTTAATTACATACTGAAAAATATGAAGTGAAAAAATGAAATGATACTTTTCTGTATATGATACTTTTATATGAAACTGAAACCGCCAATAGGCGGCAGCAAGTCTTAATAAGTGAGTCAAAGAATAATTTTATTCACTGATTCGTTCAAACTGGCGGATTCATTCATGAACAAAACACCTCTCTGTATGTTGCAGGGAGGTGCAACCATAGATATCCCTAATAAAGGCTAGTGCCCGGTTGCATAAAGCAGTTTTTCCCTTAAGTATGATACTTAAGGGGCGATTTACCCTTACCTAAGAGAATAACTTAAGGGTGTTGCATATAACCTCTTAAAGGGTTGATGAACTGAGAAATCAAATTTTCCTTGAGCTTTTGACATCTAAGAGGACATCAATTATAAGAATATCCTGTAAGTTTCAGAACTGAAAACGTCCTTGTTAGTCCAATAAAAGCTTTTATTGACATCAGGCTCGGCAAACGACTCGTTTTTCAAAGTGGGGAACTATGACGACAAAGAGGATCAAACACCACCCCCGCAGAAGAAGATCAACGCCTACTTCAACACGGCCGGTTTAGCCCCGCCCACCGATTCGCGCATTACACGAAACTCATTATAATATGCAAAACTGTTATCCACTCACAGCAGTGGGCGTTTACTTCCAAGTCTTCAATGCGAGACGCCCAGAAAAACCGAGCGTTTTTGAGCTAGGCTTAAAACTAGGGTAGAAAATAGCCTATTACTTATTCATTTTGATGTTTTTGAATGTAAAAACCAACCGAACGTCATAAGTTGACCTCAGACAACAATATAAAACCATTTAAAAAGCCAGTTCATGACCCCTTTAAACGGTTCTCTTAGGTAAGGGAAACATTTAAGTGTTTCACAACAGCGATCCTGGATTCACGTTATAAAAGTCTGTTGTTGCCATAGATACGCAAAACACTAACATGTCGGAATATCACGTGTCAGTCCAGTGACGCTATCACGCAACACCGCGTTAGCTCCGAAAGTGGCTGCAGTTTGTGTTGTTCACCGTCTCATGCTTTGGCATTTGTTTAGGTTTTGTGAATGCACTTCTGGCTCTGTGTCTCGAAATACAGCTGAGTATATTTCCATAGCATACCTGTTTTCTTCTGTCATGATTCCTTTTAAAACACAGAATCAGCTCGTTCTCCTGTGAATTTCTTTCTGCACGGGTCGGCCACACACTCTCCGTGCGCCCACTGACTTAACGTTGTGATAGTTTACATGCGAGTCGCGTGTAATGACAGACAGACAGCCGTCTAGTTTGATAGCGATGTCAAATATTGCGCGTCGATCAAATCGGTATTCTTGCAACAATTTTTCATCGCTAAATTAGTCCAAAGGGTTCTCCCTATTCCCTATGATCTTCAGCTGGTTCCATAAATTCAGCCATGTCGTCTTATTTTTGTCCGCGTTACTCTTAAGGTTACGATTTCCAAACCTTAATTTATACTTAGGGAAATTACCGTTAAGGGGTTTTATGCAACACTTAACGATTACTTAAGTGAAAAAACAGCATTTAAGGGAAATTCTAAGTGTTTATGACGTTTCACTTAAAAAAAAACGTTAAGTAACACTTAAGGGTATTTTTCTGCAACACCCTTAGGTTTAAGGGAAACATAAGGGCGACCTTAAGGGAAAATTACACTTAAGGTGCTTTATGCAACCGGGCATAGATGTCTTACGGCGGAGTCTCTATCGTCATCACCGGCGGCCATCTTGTCACAGGCAAGCTTTCTGGCGGGCTCTGTGGTGCCTGATGTAAGATGAGTGATCAGCACCAACACAAATACTCTTATCTCGCTGAAAGCTTGACGATTTACAAACGGTTTGGTTTCTTACAAACGTTATTAACGTGGCTATAATTCTGGATGATTATTTATTTATACACTTATTATTCATAAGTGTGCAGTGTCATAACTACATCTCTGACGTTTATAACAAACCAAACCGGTTGAAAATCGGTAGAAAATTTAGCAAGTTATGGTTATTTAAAAGGTACATGCACCATTAAAACACAATGTTACGAGTGAGCGAGCAGCCTGTGACAAGATGGCCGCCAGTGCGGACGTCGACCTCCATTGGCCAGCAGTGCGGACGAGACATCTAGCCTTTATGATGGAGATCTATGGGTGCAACTGTTCTCCTTTGTTCGGAACTATTTTTGTTCGTGAAATAGAGAACAGTCAAAATGGACAATACTGTGTTTAAAATTAATTTAAATTGTTGTATTAAAGTGAATCTTACATTTGCAATCGTGCTGATATTCGGGAAAACATCACTTTTGTTGGCGTGATACTTCTAAACCCCCCCACTCTGCCCTAGACTCAGGCACTGGTTGAGCCAGAAGTCGCGGCGTGTCGGAACAAACAGTTCAAACAAACAGAGCAATGTCACGATAGTGCCACAGTATTTGCACTCTGTATAGGTGAACTTATGCATGATTTACTTATGGGTGTCTCTGCCATTAATCTAGGGATTTGAAAAATGACACTCTTAATCTTTATTAATTCAGTGATTGCCATATTTGTGAAGATCATTCTCCTATCCTTTGAGCAGTAAATCCTGCTGTCAGGGCTCAGGAGTGTTTCCAGAGGATTGATCGAAGGCTGCGTGTGACGCTGAGACGCAAACAGATTCCCATGGTGACGCTCTTTGTTATTTACTTGATCTTTGTCTTTTGACTTTTAACAAGTATTCCCCCTATAACCCTTTCTCTTGTCCTATCATTCCCTTTTTTTCTGTAAATATCTGTTCATCCATTTTCTTTTGTTGAAGGGAGTGTTGGAGGGTCTGGAGTCCGATCTGCTGGGATTCTTCATGTCACAGCCACACTCAATTTACATTACCAAACTCAGCAGCAGGTGCACAGATTACCACAGTTAATGCATCTCTCACCTTCACAGACTAACTCAGACCACCACTAACTATTAAACAACATGCAAGTTGCTTGAGAGATCAAAAGCAGTAATGTTAGTATATCAGTAGAATACCATGTTTTGATTCAGATGTGTCTGTGTTTCTGCAGTTACGAGCGACTGCTCCTTCATGCCATCTGCCAGTACATGGATCTGACCTCTGCTAGTGAGTGAACTTTATTATTTCATTCAGACGTTGGCAATTTATGGCTATTTTCTTATGAGGATGGTGTGAATTCTAGTTTCTTAAAGGGATACTCCACCCAAAAATGAAAATTCTGTCATCATTTGCTCACCCTCAAGTTGTTGCAAACCTGTATGAGTTTCTGCTGAACACAAAGGAAGATATTTTGAAGAACTTTGGCACCATTGACTTCCATAGTATTTTTTTTTTCTACTATGGAAGTCAATGGTGCCCCACAACTGTTTGGTTCCAATCGTTCTTCAAAATATCTTCCTTTGTTTTTCAGCAGAAACTCATACAGGTTTGCAACAACTTGAGGGTGAGTCAATGATGACAGAATTTTCATTTTTGGGTGGAGTATCCTTTTAAAGTCAAACACTTTTACAAACTCATTGTATATACAGTCATGTGAAAAAGAAAGGACACCCTTTTGAATTCTATGGTTTTACGTATCAGGAGAACATTATTAAAATATATATATATAAAATATCATCTGCTCTTAAAATTAGGTAATTACGACCTCACGTGAACAACAACACATACATATTACACTGTGTCCTTATTTATTGAACAAAAATAAAGCCAAAATGGAGAAGCCATGGATGACAAACTAAGTGCACCCTATGATCCAGTTGCTTGTTGAGACAGTTTTAGCAGCAATTACTTAAAGTAATCATTTTCTGTATGTCTTTATCAGTCTCTCACATCGTTCTGAAGGAATTTTGGCCCGCTCTTCTTATAACGTTGCTTCAGTTCATTGAGGTTTGCAGGCATTTGTTTATGCACAGTTCTCTGAAAGTCCCGCCACAGCATTTCAATCGGGTTGAGGTCTGGACTTTGACTGGGCCACTGCAACACCTTGATTCTTTTCTTTTTCAGCCATTCTGTTTTAGATTTGGTGGTGTACTTGTGATCATTGTCCTGTAGCATGACCCAATTTCAGCCAAGTTTTAGCTGTCGGACATATGGCCCCACATCTGACTCTAGAATACTTTGGTATAGCAAGTTCATGGTTGACTCAAAGACTGCAATATGCCCAGATCCGGTGGCTGCAAAACAAGCCCAAATCATCACCCTTCCGCCACCGTGGTTGACCATTGTTCAGAGGTGTTTGTGTTTGGTTTTCGCCAAACGTGGCTCTGTGCATTATGGCCAAACATCTCATCTGTCCAGAGGACACAGTTTCAGAAGTCTCGTGGTTTGTTCAGATGCAGCTTTGGTGGTGGGATCCATCATTCAATTCAATTCAATTCAAATTTATTTGTATAGCGCTTTTCACAATACATATTGTTTCAAAGCAGCTTTACAGAAAGTGCATTTCAGAAATGTACATAGAAGAATATAGTTAGTTAGTCATCATGTACTAATTTAGGGCATAACATATCGCCGGCGTTGAGTCGTCTCTTCACAGGCGTCGAGTCGTCTCATCGCAGGTGTTGGGGCATCTGAAGTCTCCGTGAGAGTCTGGATACAAACTGGAGCTGACGTACGCTATTTACCTCGGGACTAGCGTCCCGAGATAACAGCAGAAGAGCAGATGGGAAATAATTAGCGTAGCTGCTGTTCATAATATTAATGCATTCGATCTGATTCAACAATAGAAGGTAAGCATTATGTGAATGCTTGGCTAAAGAGATGCGTCTTTAATCTAGTTTTGAACTGGGAGAGCGAGTCTGAGCCACGAACAGTATCAGGAAGGCTATTCCAGAGTTTAGGAGCTAAATGTGAGAACGCCCTCCCTCCTTTAGTGGACTTAGATATCCTAGGAATGACCAGAAGCCTCGAATTTAGTGATCTTAACGAACGCGATGGATTGTAGGGCGATAGAAGGTCCATTAAATACACAGGAGCTAAACCATTTAGGGCTTTATAGGTCAGTAGTAGTACTTTGTAATTGATACGGAACTTAATAGGTAACCAGTGCAGAGATGATAAAATCGGTGTTATATGATCATATTTTCTTGACCTAGTAAGAACTCTAGCGGCTGCATTTTGCACTAACTGTAGCTTGTTTATTGAGGATGCAGGACAACCAGCTAATAAGGCATTACAGTAATCTAGTCTCGAGGTCATGAATGCATGAACTAACTTTTCTGCATCGGAAACAGATAGCATGTTACGTAATTTAGCAATGTTTCTAAGGTGGAAAAAGGCAGTTCTTGTAACATATGAAATATGATTTTCGAAAGACAAGTTGCGGTCTAGTATAACACCCAGGTCTTTTACTGTAGTCGATAAGGTAACAGGACATCCTTCTAAATTAAAGTTGTATTGGAAGAGATTTTGTGGGTAGTTTTTTGGACCAATAAGTAATACCTCCGTTTTATCTGGATTTAATAGCAGGAAATTACACGTCATCCAGCATTTTATATCTTTAAGACATTCTGTCAATTTTGATGAGTTAGTGTTTTCATCTGGTCGTGATGAAATATATAATTGAGTGTCATCAGCATAGCAGTGGAAATTAATTCCATGTTTTCTTATAATATTACCAAGTGGCAGCATATATATTGAGAATAGCAGAGGGCCTAACACCGATCCTTGCGGCACTCCATAGTCTACTGACGTTATCTTCGATTTTTCCCCATTTAAACAAACAAAATGGTAACGGTCCGATAAGTACGATCTGAACCAGCTTACTGCCTGTCCCTGAACACCAGTGTAGTTTTGTAGTCGATCCAAGAGTATTTTGTGATCTATAGTGTCGAACGCAGCACTAAGATCGAGTAGAACTAGTATTGAGATACAGCCTTGGTCAGAAGCTAAAAGTAAATCATTTGTAATTTTAACTAGCGCAGTTTCTGTGCTATGATGCGGTCTGAATCCTGACTGAAATTTTTCATATATCTCATTTTCTTGCAAGAAAGAGCACAATTGAGCGGACACAATTTTTTCTAGTATTTTAGACATAAATGGAAGATTTGAAATGGGTCTGTAATTTGCTAAGTTATTTTGATCTAATTGCGGTTTCTTAATAAGAGGTTTTATAACTGCCAGCTTGAATATTTTTGGAACATGACCTAAAGATAAAGACGAGTTAATAATATTGAGAAGAGGCTCTTCCACTACAGGTAACACTTCTTTCAGTAGTTTAGTGGGTATTGGATCTAATAAACATGTTGTTGGTTTAGATGCAATGATAAGTTTATTTAGCTCTTCCTGTCCTACAGTTGTAAAGCGGTGTAGTTGTTCTTGAGGGGCGATAATTGAGGCTGAATCACAAGACACCATAGAGGATTGTACATTTACAATTGTATTTCGGATGCTTTCTATTTTCTCATTGAAGTAATTCATAAAATCATTACAACTATACTGTAACGGAATAATTTGCTCGGGTGATGTCTGTTTATTTGTTAGTCTAGCCACGGTGTTAAATAAAAACCTTGGATTATTTTGGTTATTTTCTATTAGTTTGCGGAGATGCTCAGCCCTGGCTGCTTTTAGAGCCTTTTTATAACGTGACACACTGTCTTTCCACACGATTCTAAAGACCTCTAAATTAGTTTGTTTCCATTTACGCTCTAAGTTACGAGTTTCTCTCTTGATAGCATGTGTAGTACTATTGTACCATGGTGCTTTAGTTTTCTCTCTAACCTTTTTTAATCTAATTGGTGCAACAATATCTAATGTACTAGAGAAAATGGTGCTCAAACTGCTGGTCATTTCCTCTAGTTCATCTGTTTGTTTGGGTTCACTAAGCAGCTGAGATAGATCAGGTAAGCTATTTGAGAATCTATCTATAGTGATTGGAAGGATTGTTCTGCCTGGTCTATAACGCGGCGCAACATGACAAATTTCAGCAGTACGTATTATACAAGTTACCATGTGATGATCAGTGAGATCGTCACTTTGCGGTATAATATCTATATCGGTTGGATTGGTTCCGTATGATATAATTAAATCTAGTGTATGATTTAGACGATGAGTGGGACCACTGACGTTTTGCTTGACCCCAAAGGAGTTTAATAAATCTGTAAACGCAGCCCCTAACGCATCATTTGTGTTATCTAAGTGTATGTTAAAATCTCCAACAATTATTGCTTTATCAGCATTGACCAATAGATCTGAGAGAAAGTCTGCAAACTCTTTTAGGAAATCAGTGTAGGGCCCTGGCGGTCTATATACAGTAGCCAAGGCTAGAGATAATAGGGATTTCTTTCTTACATCTAAGAGCGTAACATTTAGCACAAGTACTTCAAACGAATTAAACCTGTGACCTGTTTTCTGAGTAACATTAAGAATATCTCTATAGATTGTTGCAACACCGCCGCCACGACCGATCAGACGGGGCTCATGCTTATAACAGTATCCTGGCGGAGTAGACTCATTTAGACCGAAATACTCATTTGGTTTAAGCCAGGTTTCAGTAAGGCAAAGTACATCGAAGCTATTATCTGTGACCATTTCATATACAATAACCGCCTTAGGTGTGAGCGATCTAATGTTTAGAAGACCTAGTTTTAGAAATTGTTTTTGTTCACTGATATTTAGATTTTCTGGTTTAATTACAATAAGATTTTTCCTAGATCCTACACTAGATTTATTGTTTGGCCTCACTAGACGAGGAATAGACACAGTTTCTATATAATGTTCTACACTACTTATATCAATTAAGTTGGGACAGCAAAGACTGTGAATTGGACTTTGACTTACTAGTCAGATGGTGTGCAACGTCTTGGAGATGTTGTCCGACAGAACAGCCGCTCCGATTCTGCTGGGGTGCAGGCCATCAGGACGGAAGAGCCTAGGTCGCTCCCAGAACAGATTCCAATTATTTACAAAGAGCAGTTTCTGTTCATTACACCATGACATTAACCATTCATTTAGAGCAAATAGTCTACTGAACCTTTCTTGTCCTAGTCGGTACGTGGGAAGCGGTCCAGACACGATGATCGTTGCCTCAGGCGCTGTGCTGCGTACCGTCTCGATCAGGCTCCTGTAGTCCTTCTTCAGAACCTCCGTCTGCCGCAGCCTGATGTCGT